ACAAAGAGAAAATCAGGGCAAGCGCCTGGGCCTTTTGCTATAGAGTTTCACTGAAGCCTTTCCAAGCCCCAAGGATGGAACCCGAGGGCTGTCGCGCTTATTCCTACACCTGGATTGAATATCAAGGTCTGTGAGAAGATGAATCATTGAGCAGCCTGATGTTCTTGTAGGGGGCTGTTTCTTTTTTTGAACTCTAATAACAACTGTGTCGAAGGCAAAAACCACATAAAAAGTTCAAAGTTGTTAAATGCTTTTTGCCTTGCTTTCAGGGAGCAAGAGTCAGAATTGCCAAGTGCAGAGGCCGGCCTCCCCTGGGGATGCTGATCGTTCTGTCTCTGAAAGGGAGAGATTAAAGACCCCACATTCAGGCCATGGAGAGAATAACCTGCCAGAGGTGGCAGTTTTTGCTCAAGGGAACACCTAAGACTGCTGTCATTTTCATTTTCATTTTCTCCTTCAAATAAGTGATTAAGGCAAGAGACATGGCTTGATTTTGAACCAGATGTGATCATGAGCAATACATATAAAAGGCGTTGTGCCTAGGAGGGCCCTGACTTAGTTATTTCCGATAGAATGCATGCTTATTCAAGACAGCACTCAAAGCTGAGCTCAGACCGGAGGGCATTTTGGAATCAACAACAGGAAGTAATTGTATTGTCAGTGTAAAAAAACAGAGATGATAAAAGTGCTAGACTAAATTTATTCACGGTTAATATAAGCATTTGATGTTTTAGACTCATTGTAGAAACCTAGTTGCTCTACAGCCTGAACGTCTTGCAAGCAGCTTTTCTAACTGCCTTCTAAACATTCTTTTACCTGGTGTGGATCAAGCTGGCCGCTGGTGTAGCTGGAGGTGCAAACGGGCAGACATGGTTTGTTCAGCCTTTACGGTGTTTTGTTATGTTTTTCAAATTAGCTATGAATATTTAAAAATCAGGCAATTTCACATGAAAACCCAGATTCCTGGCTTCTGCTGGAAAAATGGGAAGATCTGGTATCATGTTATTGTCATATATTCCAGTTGTATATTGGCCTTCCAGTTTCACAGGGCAGCCACTTTCCGTGTACCTGTCTGCTTGTCGCTTGGCCCTGAGCTGCTGTGTTGAGTCACTGTCTGAACGGTGTGCGCTGTGTTTCTCAGAGGCACAGCTCTCATGCTCTTGCAGTCTCAGAAATGGTAGAACGAAGGAAACACCCCTCTTTATCTCGAGGAAAAGGAAATACAGGGAGGGGTGGTCCCAGATGCCGGCCACAAACAGTTGCTTTGCTCCCGAACCAGCCTTCTTTCCACTCTTTCTGTGTGGCCTCCTTTAGTTTGTGTTTTATTTCAAAATAGTAAAAATATCTCAAAAACCATAGAGCCTTAGAATAATCTAGTGAAGTGAAAAAAGAAAAGGGAAATCATACTCTATGCACAAGATGATTAGGACAGAAATAAAATAGGACTTGGAGAAAAGACTTTGGGTAGTAGCATTACAGAGGTTTTTCCTTCTGTTTCCCAAACTTTAATAATCATGTTAACTTTTGTAGTAAAGTAAGACTGTTTTAAAACATTCTAAACACTGAAGCAGCTGCTTTGCCTGGTTGTGACAACCCCACTTCCCTGAGCCAGAACCTCACTTCTTTGCTTCCCTGTAGCTCAGGTTGGCCATCCACCTCCACCCTGACTAAGCAGGCAGGCGGGGAAGTCTCCTGGTGGCTCAAGGTTTTCAGGACTTTCAGTCTTGAACATAGTTATGTGACAATGCCAGGCAAATTCTGCAGGCAGAATTACAGAGTCTAACCTTGAATGGGGACAAAGCACCACTGACCTTGCACAAGTTTTAGACACCTCATTTAACAATATCCTGTGGTTTACACGATTAGTAGGGTTTCTAAGACTTGCAGTCAAAAAATGGAGACACAGAAGAACATTTGCATTTTCTTTCAAATACATTTAAATACGTTATCTGGAGTTAAGGGGTTTTTTTCTGTTTTTGTTTTTACTTTTCCTAATACTACATAAGTAAATTGAAATGAGAGCTGATACTTTTGACAACCTCGTCCAATGAAAGGGGTTAGTTGGGAGATGAACAGAAGACTCCGCACCACCTTCCCTTCAACAGCATATGGGTAATCATCCCATTTTAGTTCACGAGTTTGGTTCTAATAATCCTTGGATTCCAGGGGGCTGATCAGGTAGGGAATCTTCACTCTAATCATTCCAAAATGGAAAGAAGGTACATGTTTACTTTCATAAAATCATCCTGCTTTTGCTGGAGACACAGAGCAGGGGTGTGGGTTGCCATTTGAGCTGCTCCATTTCTGATGCTGTTTATTGGGGGTGAGAGGAAGTTGGACTAAGAAACATGGTGGGGGAGGGAAAGAGAGGGAGGCAGAAATGCAGGAGACATTGGAAGACATTCACAGTGATGGCTTAAATGTTTGGAGATCTTGACTGGAGAAGAGAAGACTTGGAAAATGTCAGTTAAATTCTTCCAAGTTTGAGGATTAGAGATTCTTGGTTTATTTCAGGTAATGCAGGAATTTTCTGAAGACTAAGTGGAAATACTGAGGGCAAGAATCTCTATTACAAAGCCAGGCATTTTGGCAATCTGGGAAGAGCTCACAGTCAAGTTTCTTGGAAAAAAGAGGAACCATGGTCCAGCTGAGCCTAGAACTTAGATCTAGGGCAGGAGTCATTCAACATGATTGAGAAAAGTCCATCAAAATGGCAGGTGACCTGGCTGCTTGACCACATCCCCAGCAGGGCTGCTCCAATTCTGATACTTCATCACTAACATGGTTTGGGTACTTTTGTGTGATCTCTGCTTTGCTGATGTTACCATCTAACTGATCTTCCCCAGTTTGGGAGAAAATGAATTTCATTGATTGATTTAATCATCCTCATGGAAATACTGAGGGCAAGAATCTCTATTACAAAGCCAGGCATTTTGGCAATCTGGGAAGAGCTCACAGTCAAGTTTCTTGGAAAAAAGAGGAACCATGGTCCAGCTGAGCCTAGAACTTAGATCTAGGGCAGGAGTCATTCAACATGATTGAGAAAAGTCCATCAAAATGGCAGGTGACCTGGCTGCTTGACCACATCCCCAGCAGGGCTGCTCCAATTCTGATACTTCATCACTAACATGGTTTGGGTACTTTTGTGTGATCTCTGCTTTGCTGATGTTACCATCTAACTGATCTTCCCCAGTTTGGGAGAAAATGAATTTCATTGATTGATTTAATCATCCTCATCCCTAGCAAGACAAACACTCATGCTCAGCCCACTCGTAGGCCACTGATCAGCCTTCAGGTTGACTAGGGTGATGCTCAGGTAGGACACGGCCACTTAGGCACAAGGAAGCACACTGCTGCCCCCAGCGGGGGATGGAGGACCCCTCAGCCCACCTGCCCAACCACAGGGTTCCTCTGTGGGAAACAGCTGGCTCTAGGTATTTGAAAGGCTGCCCCATAAGAACTCAGGACATTTTCTGCATTACTCCAGAAGGCAGAAGGAGGTAGAAACTATAAAAAGGTAGGCCTTAACCAGCTCCAGCAAAGACTTTCAAACAATGAGTACTCTCTGAAAGCAAAGCGGACCTCCTTTAGGAAAAAGAGGCAGTTCATTCTTGGAGGTGTTACAGGGGAGGCTAGAATACCTCTCGGCAGGGATTTGTAGCTAAGATAGAATAAAGACCATTTAAGATGCCCCTTACCTTGAGACTCTGTGATCCTGTAGTTTATATTTGCTGACATTAGAAGTAATTTGGGGACCAGAGGAGATTCACAAGTCTAAGATGACCCTGAGGAATTTGGGGCCTCAAGAGACTCTCAGAATTACCCATCTCTGACTCTTCTCTCAGGCAGATGTTTGAAAAATGGTAGGATTTATGGGGCCACTTGTACCCCAAAGTGATCCTCAAAAGTTTCAAATCCAGTCTACCTGCAGGATTGATTGAAGCGAGGAACAAGCATGTGATGGTGAGGAAAAGGCTGAGATTCTCAGCTCTTGTCACTATTCTGAATTGAGGTGTTGAAGACCTAACATTAAAAATGTGTGTGTGTGCATGTGTGTGTGTGACACACATTACCAAATAGTAATTTATCAGATGAACCAGGCAGTCACCTATTAATGGGGGGCTGATGATTTCAAGAAAGGCAACAAGTGAGTAGCTGTACGAGTAACTTGTCACATTAATTTTCAATAATTTCTTGTATCTTTTCTTTCTGGGGCAGGGCTTGGCAGGAAGGAAAAGAATAAAAGGAAGAAGAGAGATAACATTTAATTGTACATCTGCTCTGGGACAAGTGTGGGGGCACTTTCCAGGGCTTCCTGCCCTGAGCGGGCCTCGGCCCTAGGATGTGTGTCTCCTACTTCGGTGAATGAATGAGGGACGGCCCTTCAGAGCCAGCTGAGTCCTACACAGGTACCGGACTTGTGATGCTAATATGAACTACTTCAAAACAAAGGAGGGAAAACTTGCCCCGTGTTCATCGTGTGCGTTAGAGCAAACTAAAGCGCCAGTGTTAACCTAGCACTGGAGTCTTCTTAGCTGCAGCCTTGCTGATCTATGCAAAATTGCTTACAAATATTTGACTTTGCTGATGCGGTTTGGAAATCACTTCAAGTGTAGTAATGACGTGTTGTTTAGTTCATAAAGTTTTGTGAGGACTTGTCTTGAGAAGGGTTTTACTTCAGAATTATGAGGCAAGAGGTTGAGATTGAGGCTTAAACAAAATCACCTTTGGAATTCAATGTCCAGCGGGGGAGCTGGGAAGCAATCCCTGTGTGCAGTATCGTTTTTAGAAGTGTCTTGAGTGTAGCGGTGCTTCCAGAGACCAAGGCTTGCAGGAAATCTGGGTGGGGCTAAAGAAAAAGAAAAACCCAGGCATGGGAAAGCATAGGAATAAGAAATGAAAAAGAAGGAAAGGGCCACTCAGCCACTGGTATGCTTCCATTTCCTCAGTGAGCAGAAAATGGGTCAGCCTGCACCCCTGCCCTAACCTCCCACTCCACCTGGGGCAGGAGGGGGANAGCAATCCCTGTGTGCAGTATCGTTTTTAGAAGTGTCTTGAGTGTAGCGGTGCTTCCAGAGACCAAGGCTTGCAGGAAATCTGGGTGGGGCTAAAGAAAAAGAAAAACCCAGGCATGGGAAAGCATAGGAATAAGAAATGAAAAAGAAGGAAAGGGCCACTCAGCCACTGGTATGCTTCCATTTCCTCAGTGAGCAGAAAATGGGTCAGCCTGCACCCCTGCCCTAACCTCCCACTCCACCTGGGGCAGGAGGGGGACTACCTGCGGGCCCCTGCTCCCCTCCCCACCCGAGAGAGGCAGAACAGCCCCAGGGACTGGCAATCATGCTCTCAGTTCTCTGCTGGCTTAAACTCCGGACCTTCTGAAGGTCGCCCCACTCCTCTGCAACATCCATCCACCCTCCCCACTCCCCAGTGTGCAGCCACGGGTCCAAGGGGCCCCTCCCAGCCACAGGGGTGAGTCCTGGCTGGTTTCCCTAAAGCTGGTGACCATTCAGGGGCAGTCTGAGCAGGATGGGTGCAATCCATTCTCGGCCTGGCTGTGGAGAGAGAAGCATTAGACCCAGCTGCTGCTCACGGCCTTTTGACGTCTCAGGAGGGAAGTCACCCTGCAAATAAAGCTGACACAGGCAAGAAGGCAGAGCTGTGAGAGTGAGAAGCCCCCTGAGCTAAGCCCTGATAGGCCTGACTGCCTTTAGGTGCTTCCCGCGCCTTCGGGAGAAAGTCAACCTGGAGAAGCACAGCGTCACTGGATTTTAGGTGATATGTGTTAATTAGGAGGGAAAGTGTTCATGGCCCAAAAGGTTTGCAAAATACTGACTTACACAAGATGCTGTCATTTGTAAGCCATTTATAAACTAAGACATTTTATAAATGTCCAGGAAGGAGCTATTGTATGAAGCAGTATATAGACATTCAACCCAGGGACCAGCTGGTCTTTTTTGTTTTCATTTTCATTTGTTTCTGAAAACTTATTAGTGTTTCGAGGAACACAGTTTGGGAAACTATGCTGAGTCATTATGAGGTATTTATACCTTAGTGAGTGAAGTAGCAACGGCGAAAAGAGTGTGGGCACTTGGAATGTGAGAGAGAAATGAGGACAGGAAGCAGACCTGCTTCCTTCGCAGGCCTACCCAGGAGGTTCTGGGACTGAGAGGACTCAATTAGAAGGTGACTGGCTGGGCACCGTAATCACCCCCTGGGGCTTCCGGGGTCCCCATATTCTAACTGAGTAGGCTGCAGGGTCCCAGGCAAACAGTATACATAGTCATCTATGGAATATATACAATAGGTGTTACCTATGTAGAGCTTACATATAATATCTACCTATAGATACAGATAGTTGTGATTTGTTTTATGGTGGTTTGAACATTCTCATTTTAAGAGTAAAGGTCAATAATCTAATGACTCTTGCTTTAAGATACTCTTTGATATGTCTCTCTCATTTTTACTTTTTATTTTTAATAATTTCACACTCAGAAAGTTGAAAGACTAATATGAAGAACTACCAAATGCCTTTCCCCCACTGTTAACATTTTGCCACTTCTGCTTTATTATCTTGGTATCTATATACCTTTCTAAATCTATCATCTGTCAATCTGTCTATCTATCTACCTACCTATCTATCTATCATCTCTATCATCTATCCATATCTATCATCTATCTCATCTATCAACTATCATCTATCTGTCTATCTATCTATCTATCTATCTATCTATCTATCTATCTATCTATCTATATCCATGTATGTCATCCCTAACCTACTTCTCTGAACAATTGAAAGTTGCAGGCATGATATCTCAGTCCCACTAGAAATGTCAATGTAAACTTACTAAAAGGACATTCTCCTACATAACTACCACTGAGCCATCGAAAGCAGGAGATTGACATTCATGCAGTATTGTCAGGTAATCCACTTACCCCATTCAGATGTCACCTGTTGCTCTAATACGTAAAGGAAATTGTTCTCTTCTGTTTCTGGATCAATCCAGGATAATGTGCCACATATACTTTTGATGTCTCTCTGGTCTTCTGCAATCTGGAATGATTCTTCAACCTTTCTTTATCTTTCATGACCTCAGTCTTTTTGAAGAGTTCACCCTGGCTGTTTTGTAGACTTTCCCTTGGTATGAGTTTATGTGATATTTCCTTTTGATTAGTATACACATTTTGCCAGGAATATCACAGGAGTGGTGCCATGTCCCTCTCAGTGTGTCATCTCAAAGGACATGTAATATCAGTCTGACCCACATTACTGGCGATGCTCATTTTGATCTCTGGTCAGTCAGGCAGATGTATTTAAAGTAATAAACTTGAGATGAAACGCCACATTCCAAGTGTGAGAACTGCTGTTCCTCCAGCCCAGCCCAGGAACGTGAAAAAAGAATACAGCCTGAGAAGAAAATCACAAGTAAATGTATTACTGAGGACAACCAGGGCTTCTCCGTTTAATAATTTACTTGATTATGAATGAGAAGAAAACACGTGTTTTCTTTTCCTCCCTTCCAACAGAAGAGGGTGTGTTAAGGTTGACACATTCAGGAAGTATCAAGTTTGCTGTTAAACAGATCACAAACATGTTTATGCAATATCAAACCATGAGATTATTCCAGGTCACGCTCCTGTGGCTTACTCAGTCATCCGTTTTCATGAATCAATTTTAACCTGCAAATTATCCAGTCTAAGCCAAACATTAATAGTGCAAAAGTTGCAAATGAATTAGAGAAATGCCAGCTGGGGCTGGAAATGTGAATTCTGGAGCAGCCATTTCAAGGGTAAGTGACACATTGTGGAAACAAGGCAGGTGGCCTTCTGAAGATAATGGAAGTCCCTGTGGGGCATGGCAGTACCAGTATCCCTGTACACCAGAGGCTGGGGGCAGCAATCTAGTTAAAAGAGGGGTGGTTGAGGGTTGTCTTAAAGCTATGACATAGGCAGCACAGTTTTTAAACTTAAATTATATACAATAGATCAATAAAAGTAGCAGAACATTCTAAATATGCTTATACTTACCTTATGTACTACTGAGACAATGTCCATTATACATAACAAACAATATGACTATTTTTCTTTGTGGCAAATGGCCTAACCCAATCTGGCCAACAGATGATTATGAGGTTCTTCACGGTAAATTTCAGTATTTCTTGTAATAGGGCAGTGGCATTATTTGATCCAAACCAGTTGGTCTGTCATGGTCCAAATAAGTCGCAGAATAGACAGGCTTAGCATATGCACACATTTTAGCAAGCAGGCAGGCATGAGCACCCATGGCTTTGGGCAGCTTCCTCTGCTGCAGTGTATGTCAGCCAGCACCTTACAGGACAGACATAGTCTGAAGCGGACTTGCTGACATACCCACAGCAGGATTGTATAGGCAACATTTTTTTTTTTTTTAGTTAGATCAGACAAGAGGACCCTCATGGAGTGGAGGGACCTAGAGCTCAGACACCCCAGACCTGAGTCGCATGGGATACCAGGCTTGCCCATGCCAGTTCAAACAGTCCTGTCTCACCACCACTAACTCACCAGTTCACCATCAACACTGTTTCTAACACCTGTGCTCATTAACTACCCTTAAGTGTTGATTCATATAAGTATACTCTGTATGCTAAGTAATCAAATATAAGGAATATTGATTTAGATCTGGGTGCTTCGCATACTAATTAATCACTCCTTGCATTGTTGAGAATTAATACCCACTCACAAACTACCTATACTAAAGATTTGAAATAAATGGTCACATAGATAAAAATATGGCCTTATTTTTAGTTGGGGTAGTTTTAGTGGTAATGGTGTGGCTGGTGGGATTATAGGTAAGAATGTAGCCACCTTGTGGCATTTAAACCAGGGTTTGCTGTAACTTCAAGGAAGTTCAGAGGATGCCATGGCAGCCCATTAATCAGCTGCAGGGCATCCTGAGGGTCACAAAAAACCGTAAAGGTGCCAAGTAGTAAAGAAACATCGAACAGATTCTTGTGTTGTTTTCTCATCACAAAATTCTACTTATTATAGAAAAACCAGAAAACACAGTCGACAAAAAGAATTGGCAATCCATAATTCAGTTTGGCAAGGAATAGCAATTTTAAACATAGAAACATGTAGGTAGATAGATTCAAATAAATATGATTTTATAAACATGGGAACTTTCTTTCCCTCTCAATGGGCAGTCAATAGCTTTCAGTATCCACAAATACACTTGAAAGGTATATTAATCAGTACACTGCACTGATTAATAAGTTGGTTAAATATAACCAGCCTGCTATTGTGAGGCTCTTAGATTGCTTCTAATTTCTTGCTCTCACAGTCAGTCCTGCCAGAGAACATCTGGCAAAGTTCCTTAATCATTTCCTTAAGAAAAATTCCTGGAAATGATGTTGCCAAGTGAAAGTTCATGCATATTTAAGTTTTCTTTCTTTCCTCATTTCCTTGTGCTAAGTAATACCTATTCATCTCATTAATACTTGCTTCCTATTTGGGTGAGAAAACAGATGCCACCAAAAGATGATTTCCACCATCTTCACCACTTCTCCCCACCTTCTAACATCTGCAGCTGTAACCCCTGCCCTCCCTTCTGTAGCAGGAGAGGTGGCCTCCCGTTGGGCCCTGGACCCCAGCCCCTCTTGCCCACCCACGGACACTGCTCCGGCAGGTCTCTTTACTCTTTCCGGCACCATTTACTTTTCCTCTCTTTCCTGTGCTGCTTTCTCATCAGCATACAAACGACCCTTATTCTTCCCAGCTTTAAAAACAAATGAACAGAGAGCCCTTCTCTTGGCTTCATTTCCACTTCTAACGGCAAATCTGTTTCTCTTCTCTCCCCTGCAGCAAAACTGAGAGAGTTGTCTTCATTCACTGTTTCCAGTTCTTCCCTTTCTTTCTTAAGCCCTCTCTGGTCAGACTGTCATCCCCACGCTCCACCAAAACCATTCTTGTCAGAGTCACCCGTGACCTCCAACTTGCTACAGCCAGTGGGCAACTTGTAGTGCCATCTTACCTCATCCGCCAGCAGCAGTGGGAACAGATCGTGACCCCCTCTTCGCTGATGTATCTTTCCCCAGGCTGCAGAACACCGTGTGGTCCTGGTGTCTTGGTTCACGTCTTCCTTCTCAGCATCCTCCCGGCTCCCTCTCATCTTCACGGTCTTAACTCTAGAGTGCTTCAGGAGACACAGTTTGGATACATTTTACTTGTTTAAACTCATTCTTTTGGTGATCTCATCCATATAGCCTTAATATCATAGATACGTTGGCAAATTCCTAAATGTAACTCTAGTGCCTATTCGAAGCTCCCACCTTGCCCCAAACTCTAGATCCAGCTGCTCCTTGACATTGCATGCCCTTGACGTGCCCCAAACTGGACCCCTAGTTTTACTCCCTTCCCAGCCTGCCCTTCCCATGGGGGTCCCGTCTCAATGGCAAACTCCAGTGGGCCACAAACCTTGGAACCTTCTTTGATCTCCCTTGTCTCTCACACACCCCTTCCAGCCTTCAGCAAATCCTGTGGGCCACACTTTCAGAATAGATAGAGTACCAGGCCACTGTCACCATCGCTCCATATCCCTCTATACTAAACCAGGAATACAGCAAACCCTGACACAAAATGTTAGCAAACAAAGCAGATCCGGGCAGAGCTGTTCTGACTGGAAAGGTCCTACCCCTCTCCTGAGCGGGATCTTCGGACCTGCAGGCCTCTTGGAAGCAGAATCTGAAAGCCTTGCACCTCCCCTGGAACGTACACAAAAGCTCCTTCTTTTCCTGCTAATCCTTATGCAGCCTGTGAGGTTTCCTGGAGAACAGAGTGAGGCCCTTGCCTACGGTACAGAATTTTAGAGAGAAGCACCAAAAAAACTCAGTAGTTAAGATAAAGAGTATTAACGGAATACTGAAATAATCAAAATTAATGCAAAAAATACACAATGAATAAAATATTAACATGTTAAATAAAGACAGACTCAGTCACAGTGCCTTGCTGAGCCATGCTGGAGTCCAAGCCAAAAGGGGAAATCAGCCATACTGATAATGCCTTTATCTGGATGACATTCTTTCATCTTGATGGATGAGTTTTTGGTGTCCCTTTAAATTCTGAGCCCATGGTGAGGGCCTCACTCTCCTTGGCTGGCTCTCCTTATACTCTACATTTGTCACTCGACATTGTCATATAAATGGCTCTTTGTCTTGTCTCTCCTGCTCTTTTAGACTATACACTCCATGAGTGTAAGGACCAGGTCACGTTCATCTGCATTTCCAGCATATCAGGCACATCGTAGGCATTTAATAAACATTTTTTTGAATAAATGAATTGGACTGGAAACCATCAAACATGAGGTTTTCCATCTAGCTGAACTCCAACTGCTAGCCTTGTGATCTTGGGCAAATTGTAACTTCTCTGGCTTCAGCTTAACATCTCCCCATAATCTCAAATACCCTTCTGTATCTATTGAAATTGTCCATCAGTCCAAGTCTCCCCAAGCATTCCCTGCCTGGTGTCTGATGGCGTCAGAAGGCAGCTGCAAGGGTGCTGGTATTTTGCAACGGATTAGAGAGCTGAATTCAGCAAAGCGATGGAGCTGTCTTTAAAATGCCCTGTTGGCCAGATAATTGCTTTTAATTTACATTTTGCTGGGACTGTACAAAGCCATTTAGGGGATAATTTCTCCAGTCGTGCTGTCCTGGTTGAGAAATACAAGCATTGTCCTCTAATTAGAACATGTGTTAAATATTTTACTCCTTCTAGCTCCATTCCTAGTGGCCTGTGTTTTTAAATGTGGGGAAAGACCATTTTCTTTGGAAAAGCATTTCCCACCACCCTTTGCATGTGAATGAGAAGGAGGAGAAGTCAGACAATTCATTGCAGGCATAGAAATACAGATCCACTGAGCACCTACTGTGGCATCTACCACATGCAGTCCTCTGTGGGACGTGCATCAGACAGGGTTCCCGTTCCCCGAGAGTTTCAGACCCTTCCAGGAGAGCAAACATGAACAAAAGAAGCACCCCAAGATGGTTATATAACCAACTGCTGGGGTGGTCGGAATAGTAGGAGAAAAAGAGGAAGCAAATCCTCCCTCAGTACCTGTGTGTGAAGACTTGAAAATCTTATCTTGTGTAATCCTTATAACTACCTTTTTGGATGAGCTGTTAATAGCTCTAAAATACTAATGAGGACACAGAGGTTTGGAGCAGAAGTCCATCAGGAAGCATTTGCTTTCCCAAAGTGCTCACATGCAAGGTTTTCTAATGTGTTTGAAATGGGTTCCTTGACCTGGATACTGTGAAGTCTAACCAGGCAAGGAAATAGGTACTCGCCTCCCCTCCCCCTCAGTGACTCAGCCTTGGGTTTGGAAGTGGCTTTTATTTAACCACCTCATCCATGTAGTGTTAGCTTGTTAGGATATCACCAGGGTTTGGAAACTCTAGTTGTGGAATATAAAACAGGCCATGAGTTTCATTTTCACACTGAATACGATTTAGGCCTTGCTACTGGGCCAGCAGAAACAAAGATTCCAAAAGCACCGGGTTCAGTGACCAAAATTCCCCAGCGGGCTCCACGCGCCAGAATTTTTCTTCCTTCTTCAGGGAGGCGAGCTAGATCCCGGCTGTTCCTTTAAGGAGGGCTCAGGTGGAGAGCCGCCTCCTCCGTCTAAAGCCATAGCCTTGAAAATGACAGCTTTGGAGCAGCAAAGCCTGTGAAACTTGCTTGGCGCTTCTTTCTTTCTTTCTTTTTTTTTTTATGAGTTTACCCTGTTGCTGTGGTTCAACCTCTCCTCCCGACCCCAGGCTCCAACCCCAGGCAGAGGGAAAAGGCCTTGGGATTTAACCACCTGTGAAAGATGGCAGTTTGGCAGCCTTAGAATGTGGAGCTCTGCCTCCCTAGGGGCCAGACGTGAGGCGAGAAACAACGCGCACGTCCTGTACCCCAACCTCAGTCTAAGGGACCTGACCTTCAGCAAATCTCGGGAAAACTCGGCAGATCTCTCCAAGGTTGGAAAGATACTGGCTTGTTCACCCACTATTTCCACCTTTAAATAAAGTCATATGGATCAATGGATGACAGTGACTCACCCAGCATTTGTATCTTTTGGGGTAGCAATCGTATAAATAATAAAGGAGCTTTTAAGGTCTTATTTTTTTTATGAAGGTATCATTGATATCCACTCTTATGAAGGTTTCACAAGAAAACAATGTGGTTATTACATTCACCCTTATGGAGTCCCCCCGCCACACCCCATTGCAGTCACTGTCCATCAGTGTAGTAGGATGCCACAGAGTCCCTACTTGTCTTTTCTGTGCTACAGTACTGTCTTCCCTGTGATTAAGGTCTTAATTTTTAAAAACAATCACTTTCTGTTTTTGTAGGATGATTCATTTCCATACATACTCAGTGACATTTTTTTAAGTATCCAATGAAATCTTGACTGAATTACGGGGAGAGAGCTTTTTGAGTAAAAGCTGTCCATCATCATCACAAAGGCTAAGAATATATAGTAGAACGATGGTATTTAATGGGGCTGTGGGGTTTCTGGGTAGGTGTTTGGAGGATTCCTCCGCGTAGGCGGCACATACTTATCCTGAGTCAGAGACATGCACGTGGTCTGGGTCTCCACCTGCAGCCAAGAGCTGACGCATCTCTCCGAGGCCGCTCGGAGTCTTGTTCGCCCTGGTGGACAAAGTGCCCAGAAGGGGCCAGTGAGTTAGCAGTGTTTCCAACACTTCGGAAAATACATCATAGACCCGTGAGGAAAAAGGCAAAAGTAGAAAATACAGGCCCTAGAAAAGCTTATCGGTCCATTGTAGGAAAGAACCCAAGTTCAGAGACCTCCTCCTCAGCAGGCGGAAGGTGGCTAACAGACCCAACCCAGCCCAGAGCCCAACATCTCTGTCCCTGGCCTCCCGCACCTTCCCACACCCGCTCAACTCTCCTCATCCCAGAGGACTCAAGTCTGGCGTCAACTTGTCCAGGAAACCTTCCGACATCCCAGAGGGGGAATGCTGTCGTGCGTGCAGCTGCCTCCCTCAGCCACTGCCCTTATCACATTTCATTAGACTGCTTTCCATGCGGACTGTGACCCCTGGGAGGGCAGGGAGTGGGACTCACTCCTCATGTAAATGCCACGCCCTGCGCTGAGCACAGGTAAATACCCCAGCAACCGAGAGTCAGTCTGATCAGCAAATAACACCTGGGGAGGTAGACAGGGAAGGACTGCGGGGTAGTCAAGGAGAGCTTCGCAGAAGAGTGCTGGGTAAATTGGGAGAGTGTGGGACCAAGTGGTTTGGTGGGAAGAAGAATGGGCATATCATTCATGGGAAATGTCGGTAGCCGCGCTGACCTCATGGTACGTCGCACAGGGCATTGAGGAGATGGAATTAACAAGAGGAGGAGGATCGTCGCAGGACTTAAAAGCGCTCTGTGTTCTGGACTTGATGGGCAGACCATGTAATTCTTACCACTGCTTTGGATGAGAGGGTGAACCAATGCCAGTGGTGCCGTGATCAAATTCTCACTAGAAAATCTATATTCAGTTTATTGAAATCCCACTGTGCTTTCAGTTTCATGCAGCATTTCCTTTACGTCCGGTGTGAAATCCTTATGCCTATTTTAGTGTTGGCTGTGGCTCATTTCCATGGACCACAGTAAGCCTAACCCCGTACAGGTCTGACCAATTCAAGTTTTTCCACATACAGCTGCAAATTCTTTGTCTTTAAGCCACTCGAATCTCATGTTTATTATGAGTTGAGCATCACTGCTCATGTGTTCTCATGTGATGAAAAGCCCATACTTGAGTCCCGCAGTCATGGCAGAACCGTCAGGAAGAGGAAATGAGCAGGGTTGTGAACCAGAACATGCTGTACCTTTTTAAACATTAACCATTGTTCAGGTCTGCAGCCCTGGCTGCTGGAGGCAATGATGGGAATCAGGAATTACATGCAAAAAAAAATCTCTATGGAAAATTTTAGAGCTTCCAATCTGCCTTGATCCACCAAAGTTAAGTATTGTATATGTATATGTTTTAATACTGTAATATACATATATTTTTTAAGAAATAGAAGCACAACGAAATTGACCTATCCCTTCTCTGAATATAGCTCTACCTGACCT